TGACGTCATTTTGGGCTCATTCTTTCCCTTTCCTTCCTATTTCCCTCACATTTCTCATTCCTAACTCGATTCTCATCCCCCTTTCACTTTTTTCCCCCAAACAATCAAAAACACTTCAATTTACTCCTCCAAATCAAAATTGACGAACAATTATTGGTGGTTTGGGGGAAAAAAGTGAAAGGGAAGATGAGAATCCAAATAGGAATGAGAAATGTGAGGGAAATAGGGAGGGAAGGGAAAGAATGTGTCCAAAATGACGTCACGTGGTAGTTGGAGGGCAAGAAGGTGGTAACTTTTCATTTTTTGAAAATAGAAGGTGGTAATTTTCAAAAAAAAAAATAGAAGGTGGTAATTGCTAAAATGGACATAACAGAAGGTGGTAATTGTCAAAATCTCCTTATATTCATCTACTAATTTTGACTTGATTTTTACTAATTACTTTCATTTGCTTTGTTTAATTGCACTGATTTGACTTTATTTTTCTATTATTTATTGAGTGGTGGCTTTGATCTATTAATTGCTAAAAAAAATGATGGCATAGTGGTTAAGTATTATATTGTTATTTTTTAATAAAAGGTTGGAGGATTAAACCTTAACTTAAAGATCTGCCACATGGCCGCACAAAATAATCACTCAAAAGAAAAAAAAAAGAAAAAAAAAGGAAGGGGATTGGAGTAATACTAGTACAGTTGTACACTAAGGGCATGTTCTCATACGTTTATTTTCAGTTCAGTTCAGTTCGGCTCTAATAAGTTCAGTTCAGTTCAGCTCCTAATTTCCTTCATTTTTAAAATATTCAGTTCAGTTCAGCTCAGCTGAGTTCAGTTCTGTTCAGTTCAACTGAGTTCAGTCATTGAGAACATTGCCCTAATACGTATTAATTGTTAACCCTTTTTTCTATTATTTTCCAGTTAATTTTATATATAACCCGGTTATGAAATTAGCCATAAAGCTAGTACTAATTTTTGGTTAAAATGCAAAATGCTTACTCAATTCGACATTAATAAGTTCAACTATTCAAGAGCTTGTTAACTGCGGGTTTGGGCCGCACCCGCAACAACCAAGAGGAGAGTCCATTTCACAAGACCAAATGAGCTTCCATCCCAAAATCATAGAGCAATAGGAGGATTAGCCCTTTAACCTTATAAAGTGTTTAAGAGCTTGTTAAATACGGGTTTGGGCTGCACCCGCAACAACCAAGAGGAGAGTCCATTTCACAAGACCTAATGAGCTTCCATCCCAAAAATCATAGGGCAATAGAAGGAGTAGTCCCTTAACCTCATAAAGTGTTAACTCTCTTAACTTTTTATCAATATGAGACACTTACATGTGCTATTTTGGTAGGATATATTTCAATAGGGCTATATCCTTAAGACAAAGAATAACACTTTGCCCTCAAAAGCTACAGTACTATTAAGTCATACTCGGTATTTCATACTCCGTATTTCATAGTATGGTGAAAGAAGGGTATAGTATACCGCACGTACACTCAGTATTTTTAAAATTAAAGCTCGTGATCTGCAAGTTGAGACGAATGCTTCTGATTATTCATTACTACTCATTATTACAAACAAATAAAAGCCATGCTCCCATGTATGCGCAATTTATGATTTCAAGCCTAATCTACAATTTGACATTACGTATGGATTAATCACTACGAGTATTTACGTGCTGGTAGTAGGGTAAGTGAAAGGGATTACGAATGCGCTAGCTAAGTTTGCAATTTACGACATTTAACAATAACAAAAACGGAAAAAACAGGTAATAAACGAGACAAGGAGAATTTAACGTGGGAAACCTGAAAACCGGAAAAAAAAAAAAAAAAAAAAAAAAAAACCACCAATCTACTATGGAGTAACAATTTGATGAAGATTAATGTAGATTACAAGCTTTAATCACCAGTAAAGCTCCTACCCCAAATTAACCCTCCCAAACACTCAAACCCTAAGTGTTTAATGTATTGTCATCATTGTATATATATATATATATATATATATATATATATATATATATATATATATATATATATATATATATATATATATATATAATCAATAAATGTAACTTGTTATCAATTAATAGTAAAGTTTTGATAAGCTGATTAGCGAATCTTTTACTAAAATAGCTAATTTTACAAAAGTATTTATCAAAATGGCTAATTATAATTAAAAATTTCAAAACTAGCTAAATTATTGATTTAGAAGAAAATTATTTTATTTCTTGTTTTCTTTGAACCAGTTTGGTTCTTTTTTTTTTTTTTTTTTTTTTTAAGTTGTCTGTTTGGATTAATTTTAATTTTTTTTAGTCAGAAAATTTAAAGGCCGGTAATTGATAATCATGCCTTTTCACGAAAACTTGCCAGCTTGTCATGAACCAATTATGTTCACAGGTATAGCATATTTTGTGACATAATCAATAAATTTATCTTTGTCACCAAACTCTTGTGTTAATTCGGATGATATAGTACAAGAGGGGGGTGAATTATAGTATGTTCCTAGTGCCTACTTTTCGCGGAATATAAAACTGATTGTTGTTAGGAACTTAGACAATGCAAAGCGGATTTTACGAGGAAACCATCCAGGGCCCAACTGGAAGTAAAACCTCGACCTTACCTTAGGGATTTCAAACACAAACCACTTCATTATAATAGGGAAAACACCAAGTTACAACCTATTAGACACGGACCTTTATTTCACAAGTTCCTCACTGGACTTGCTACTTGATAGGACCCTATCCTACCCAATCTAAGTACCACACTTAGATTCACTCGTACCACCAAAGTACTACACACTCGGCCTCACACTAGAAGCTCAATCGGCCTCACCTAGAAGCTCACACATTGCACTCTTACAATATAATTATAACGAGAATCCTCACGACGCGAACTCTCACACCCCAATACATAAAACACTCAAAACCCTTTTTCCCAATTACAAGATCTCAAAGAATAACTCTAAATACATACCAATGAATAAAGAGATAAAACTAATATGCTGGACACTCGAGATCTGTGTGGAACTTACTGGACGAACTGTAACTGGAACCTGACTGGAACTTCGACCTGGAGGTTTGACTTAGCTTCGTGGTGAAGGATGAAACCATTAAGCACGACCACTAAGCTTCATCAGCATCAACTTTGAATGAATACATATGAGCATATTTATAGTACACCCAAATTATTCTTTTCATAAAAGATAAGTTTTATTAAAAGATAGAAATAAAAGATATTTTCCAAAAATAAGTTTTCCAAAAATATATCTTTTGTTAAGAATATATTCTATCAATAATAATGAGATATATTTACCATAAAATCAGATTTTATCTAAATCTTATATTTTTCAAATATACTAATATATCTTTTAACAAAAGATATACTTACCATGTCTTTTTAACAAAAGATATACTTACCATATCTTTTTATAAAAGATATACTTACCATATATTTTTACAAAAGATATAATTACCATATCTTTTAACAAAAGATATACTTGCCATAAAATTAGATTTTATTTAAAACTTATTTTACTGAAAATATTTTCCAAAAATAACTTATCTTTTTCCAAAAGGGATTTATTATAAAATAAATATTTTTATTCTGTAAAACCAAATCCCTAAAAGATATGCACGTATTAGGTAAATATTTATATCATTAAATTCAACCTGCGACCTTTAACGACGTTCAGACCTAAGTTCCAATTAGGTTTCGGAACTCTGACAGTCTCTGAGTTCCTGACAAGTCAGTAACTCTAATTTCATTGACTATCATGAGTTCACCTTGGTTCTTTAGACTTGTTCCAGACTGACTTTTATGTCCAAAATACTTACATGAATCCTAGAGCGATATGCTTCGATTTCTTCGTCTTCATGTTGTTTCTTTGAAACTCTTGTTCTGGAATCTTGTAGTATTGAGTATTTTAGATCTCGGGGCAAGTTCCTGTTAGGGAACTTAGATAGTTCTTGTTAGAGAACTAAGTTCCTGTTAGGGAACTCATCATGTACCTGTTAGGGAACATGGAACTCTTCATGTACCTGTTAGGGAACATGCTCCGGCTTTCGTGGGAAAGCCTGCCGAAAGTTCCTTCTGGATCTTGTTAGAGAATACCTTCAGGTTCCTTCGTGGTTTGGTTCTCATGGGAGAACCTGTTTTAGGTTCGTTCATTCTCTCTTGTTCCTCTTGAAGTCTTCTATGTTCCAACCCATTGACTTCACCTAAGTCAGTTCCTGTCTTCACATAAACACTTAAGAGAAACATTAGATTGAAGTTTGTTTGTCATAAACAAACTTCAAGTGAGAGAACTAATTACACTTAAAGCTTATGTAAATACTCCTACACATATATAACTCATGTATGCATAGTGTACTTACCTTATGAAGCTAACATATGCAAACGCCTATTTACATAGTTACCTTCATGGTTCTTTAGCCATCATCATGCTTATCAACCATAACACTCATCATTGTTCTTGTTCTTCTATTGCTTATCATATATTGCTTATTGCCCAGGTTCCTTATATATATATATATATATATATATATATATATATATATATATATATATATATATATATATACATATATGTGACTGCTCAGGTTCCTTGTATCCTGTTCCAAGTATAACTTGTTCTTTCTATGCACAACTTAACAAACACATTAGATAGATAATCATCATTAGTTTACAATCATCAAAACCTAATTACTCAACATCTTGACCCTTGTGTAATTGATAATCAAGGCTAACATTTAGAGAAGAGCTAAATTTGTAATTATCATCATATTTTAGGTACACAAGATCAATAAAATCTTAATGTGGGGCTCTTCATATTCAATTTCAAAGTCAGATTCAAGAACTTCAAAATTTGAGCATTGGAACCTCATTAGCCACTGTATAGGAGATAAGATGATCCATATTCACATTAAAGGAGCAAGAATGGCTTATAAAATCAAGCAATTGAGAAGCAGCAGATTGTTCTTCGAACATATTCATTATTTGCCATTATATGTCACACAAAAATTCGTAAGATTGCTTTATTATACACATTAAACTCAACAATAATGTTCAAAAGTAGGCGGCATTATCAGAGAGCATACAATTAGCAGACATGAATAAAGTGAACAATGTCTTCATTCGTAGAATTTGTCCGTCGTGGTAGCTATACCTCACTAGCCTGTTATCTTCGTCAAATTCTTCCACTTTTGTCTTCAGGAATGCTTGTTCACCGATATTAACTACAATAATTATTATTGTTAAACCACAATAAATATACTCAAGTAAAGTCATGCTAAGTATAATTTATGTGAAATCTTATCATAAACCATTAAATATTTTAGCGAAATGTTACAATTTTTCTTAAACAAGCACCCTTTCAAGATCGAGGGCATGTAAAATAAGTATACAGCCCCAGCCTTATTCCATTCTCCTTCAACGAACTTGTGGCCTTATGGGCATCACACTTAAGCTCAACATGTATATATGTTCTATAGTCTAGATAAAAATAAAAAAATAATAAAAAAATAAAAATAAAAATTAACATTATGTAAAGTATGATATTTAGTACATCACCTAGCCTTGCTGGCTTTTTTTTTTTTTTTGGTTGAAAAGAGCAATAGATTAAAAGGTTAGGCTGTTAACACAGCAATAGTACAAAGATACACCTCACTAAGGAGGTTCAAAAGACGGTGTCGCAGCACCCAAATAGTTTCCTTCCGGACTAATAGTAGCTATATTAGACAGAGAGTAGTTTTGTTGCAAATTGGGGGGTGGGGTGAGAATAGTAGCATTACAAAGAAACACAGCTGGGTTAAAAACCCCCATGCACTGAGCTGCAAGACCCAACCTGGATGTCCTTTATCAATCTATTTCTACTATATATGGTCATTCTTAAAATGACCATGACTATTCTTAAATGATATTGATTGATTTTTCTTTTTTTCTTTTTTTTTTTTTTTAATGTTTGGTCAAACTTTTTTTTTTTTCAAAAACTAATTTATGATTCACGAAAATCTTATTTTTATTTACATAATTATTTTATTAAAATCATTTTTTAATAAAGTAGCAAAATAAGATTAAATTTTAAAAAATTAAAATCAAAATTTTATTCTTCATTATTTTTCAATGATGATTTACAACCATCTATGATTAAAATCAATGAGCACATATACAACCATCTATGATTATTATTGAAAAATTTATGATGATTATTTTTCAAAGATGATTTAATCTAATCTGATTATTTCAAAAATAAACATATATGTGCTCAGATAAGTTGACCTTAACATATCCCTAAATATTACTCGTATTGAGGTAAGCTATGAGACCTAGTAGTAATTATAAGTGCAAGATTCTCTTACCATCGACATAGTTCCAAGTGACGATAGCACCAACTTTACCCCAAACTTCCCCTTCATCGAGCTCAACTTTTGGATACTTATTAGGGCATATTTTTGATACAAGAAATGTTTTAGTGAGCCCAAATTTCAAAAAATTTGTCAGCTTGACATTTGAGCTCAGTTTGAGCTTCAGCCTTTTGAAGCTGAGCCATTATTTTTGTTCTCTCTCTTAAAGTTACAGTTACTCTTGATCGAAATATATGTTAACTATATGACCTATATCTTGAGGTTTAAATAGAATAACATTGGGGGCTCAAATTCTTTAAGATAAGAGACGTTGTATCACTATTAACAACCACTTCTTTAGCTTGTTCGATTCCCCACTATTTCTTCAAAAAGAAAATTAGATACTCCTTGTTATGGCCCATGCATGGGAATATAAAGGACATAGATTGAATTTTTTTGGGTATTTTAATTTATTTCAATTCATTCATTTCTGTAAGTTGTTTACTCTTGAAGGGGGTGTTTAGTATAAACATTGTAAATAGAATGGAAAGGATTAAAATAAATTAGAGAAAGGGTAATGATAAACGCTATTTTTATTATATATAAGTTCGGTATATATCCTAATGGAATGGAAACAATTTGAGTATATTGCGATTGAGTAAGGAAACGTATTTTGTTTTGACTAGTTTGTCAAGGGTAACAAATTGGAGGATTTTGTTACCCTTAGAAAACGGTATTTGTTACTTTTAACAAATACCAAATTAAACAACTAGATATGAAAATACTTAATTGAATCCGTTTCCTATATCTAAAATTACTAAACCAAACGCCTCCTAAATCCTTATACATCTTAATGCAAATAGAATCTGATTAACTACCGTATTGGTGTTCTAAGTTACAATAGATCGAGTTTACAAAGTCTTGCAAAGTAGAGAAATAATAGGGATCTTGTATTATTAGTCTCAATTTGAGTTTCAGAATATATATCTAACTTTTAAGCTCTCACTTGAGACACCAAAAAATTGACTACGAGTTATTAGAGTTGGTTTGGTGTATTTATGTTAAGTTTGTATACTTGTTAAGTTTATCTTGTTAGGAGTTTTAGGCAAGTTGGGTTTCCTATTGTATTGTGTATATATATGTGATTAATATCAATGCAAAGGCCAAGCCGTTTTCTCCATTATTTCTTGAGTTTAACATGGTATCAGAGTCCAGGTTTCTTGGGCCTTAAAAAACTGGGTATTTGTCAAGCCACTGGTTAAGGGGTCTCTATTAGATGTTTATTCCCAATGAGGATTATATTGTAACTTCTGGTGTGCTATAAGTTCTAAGGACACTCACAAGTGAGGGGGAGTATTGAAACCCATTGTAGCCCACTTGTGAGTGTCCCATGTTGGAGAAAGAGGAGAGGTGGTTCCACTTTATAAGAAGGTAGATGAGTTACTCCTAATATTGCCAATTGGTTTTAGCATGGAAGCTCTAAGCCTTGTTTGTGGACCAAACACTCCTCCTCCTTGTTCGGGTTGTCTAGGCCCATTTCATATTGTTTCGAAATTTAACATGGTATCAAATACGAGTAATCACTGAATTATACTACCTCCATTACATTTATTTGCAACGATTTGACATAAAGTAGAGAGGAAAAATATCTAATCGTTGCACATAATATGTAACAGAGGTAGTAATTAAATCATACAGCAGGATAGCTCAAGTGGTTTGAGCTTCTCTACCGATTTCAGGAAATCCTGAGATCGATTCTCTCCGCCACCCTATATATATATATATATATATATATATATATATATATATATATATATATATATATATAAACTATTCCTTTGAAATTTTTTTATATCATCTTTGTTATGTTAATAAGTTTGCTATGACTATCATTATTGCAATAACCCTAAAAGTATGATCAATGAAATGAAATAAACTTCAAGTTCAAGGATTAATTTAGAACAATCTCATAGAGTATTTATTAAATCCTAGGTTTTCATGATATCCTCGTAAGTAGATATTCGCTAGGATTAGTTTTCATGATAATTACAGGGATATCCTAATTACAGCTAGCGTCGTAAGTAGATATTCGCTTAGCATATATTAACTGTAAAACACTTCTACAACATGAAGGATTCCTCATCTTATTCAAAACCAGGATTCTAGATTATGACGGATATAATTGGTGATAGAGTATACAAACCAATCGTGAGCGTGAGAAGACACCTAAGATTGGTTTTGACATATTTTGTACGAAATATAATAAAAAAAATAAAAAAGAATAATTTTGATATAGATTAATATATTTCATACATGGTATGCAATATTGGTCCCACTAATATAAAAATCAAGAAACCAATTCAAGCAGGCACACCTAATGGTTGAAAGCCTCCTTCCATACGTGTAAGAGGGGTTTGTTAAAAAAAATTTACTAATTGTGTTGATTTGTGTGATTCATGGATTACAAAGTATAAAACATAAAAATGAAAGTCATTCAAAGTGAGTTACATCTTAGCTTGAATTCAGTGGCGTAACCAGGATTTTTATATTAGGGGGGCCAATATTGTATACCATGTATGAAATATGTTAATCTATATCAAATTTTTTTTTATTATACTTCGTACAAAATATATCAAAACCAATCTTAGGCGCCTTCTCACGGTCTCACCCTCTCACTCATTATTGCACTTCTTAATGTGTACGAGAATTTATATTTCACAAGAAACCCTAAAGAAAACTTGAAATATTAGTCATGAAAGGCAATTATCCAAAACTATGAAATATTAAGCAAGCCACGTCGGACGAACAAACATAAAATTGCTTAACAAAATATGCGTTTTAAGGAAAACTATGTGCTAGACTAGTACTGCTAGCGCCTCGCGATCGCGCTCAACTAGTTAGTCACTGATTTTATTTATTTATTTTATTTATTTATTTATTTATTTTTATTTTTTATTTTTATTTTTTGTGTGTGTGTGTAAGAGAGATCAATAAATAGTTGTAACTTGTAATCAAATAATTGTAAATTAAAGTTTTCATATATAATTAAGCTAGTTAGCATTATTTCATATCCATTATAAAATGAAGTATGCGCCATACATGAAACATGAGCATAGTTAACTACATTTATGGGCTATTTGGAGGTCATCAAGCACCTTTGCAAAGAAAACCATCGATGTCTTTCGCAACATCAAGCATAAAATCTAAGTATGCATTTGGTTCAGGAACATCCTCATTCATCTTCTCATACTCACAACTCCACTTTACAATGCAACCTTCCCCCTTTGGAGTTATTTGAATCATTGATTTTAGGGTTTTGTAGAAGCTCTTGAGGATTTGTCCGTCGTGGTAGCTATACCTCACTAGCTTGTTCTCTTCATCTAATTCTTCCACTCTTGTCTTGAGGAATGCTCGTTCACCAATATTACCTACAATAATTATTAAATTAAAGCACAGATAGATCTACTCAATTAATGTCATGCGAAGTATTCTGAAATCTAATCATAAACCATTTAATAAATTAGCGAAATGTTACATTATTTTGAAACGAGTGACAATTAATTCGAACAGATCATGTGTAGTTCAAAGATTGAGGGTATGTAGCATATAAGTGTACTTACTGATATAATAGTGCCCAACCATGACAGCCCCAACCTTATGCCACTCTCCTTCAATCAGTTCCATTTTCGGAACTTTTTCAGGGGACATTCCATGAGCAAGGTATAGTTTTCGAGCCCAAACATCAAAGAACTTGTCGGCATCACACTTAAGCTCAACTTCTCCTTCAACCCTTTGAAGTTGAGACATTTTCTAACCTTCTTAATTGGTTACTAGAAAATATTATGTTTTGATCTCAACTCGAGTGTATGAAGTTGAGCGCGAGGGTGCTTAAATATACATCCTATAAGAATTATAGCTAGCCTTGTACTAAGATTCGCTAATGTATATATGTTTCACTGTAAACCACTTCTACAAATTGAAGGATTCCCCATCATATTCAAAACCAAAAGTTGCAATTATGGTCATGAATGTAGGAATCAGCATATATAAAAAAAACCGTTTTTACGTGGTCCTGGTGCAACATGTATATACGTTCTTTAGTCTAGATAGAAAAATTATTACACTTTATGTAACGATAAATTTTAAAAGCAAATATATTGAAAAACATGATCATTTATTCAATATTTTTTGTGAGCTGTCCAATTACTGTTTGCAACTGCATTTACTGTTTATTGAGGAAATTACACATGTACCCCTTAACAAGTACATGAAAAGACGCATGTACCCTTCCACTGATACTTGAAAAGACAATTATACCCCTAGATAAACAATTTTGTTTATATGGTGAATTAACTGGGCACAGCTCAATTTTTACAGATCGAAAATGGGAAATTCCTGGTTGATTTTCATGATCAACATAATTTGTCAATCATAAGGGTGATGGTGTCTTTTCATTCATTAAGTCAAGGATAGTAATGTCGTTGTATATGTAATGATGTGTTCATAGTGCCAGGTGGGCACTATTGTGTTTGATGGCGTTAAGCGTTAACAACAAGCTAAACGTAAAACATCCGTTGAGCAAAGCCCCAAATCACAAAATCGCTCCTTCTCTCTCCTCTATCTCATGTCTCAACAATGGCGGTCATTAATTTCAAGGTGAAATGGCCACCCCTACCCTTTGGGGTTAATCAATCCCATAATTTCACTCTTTGTTTCTAGGGTTTTCGTTTAATTTGGCGGCGGAGCCACCGAAGGTGGTGGTGCCGATGGACAATTTTATGGAGGGAGATGATGGTGTCGGTGGACATAATGAACAAGGTGGTGTTTGTGTTAAGCTTCAATGGAGGAAGTAGCTTGGACAATGGACACCATTGTTAGCGTTGATAAACGGAGTTAGGGATCTAGGCCATGTGTTTGTGATGATTAAGCAGCTGACAAAGCAAAAGGATGAGCTGGCTGTTGAGTAAGCACTAGATTGACATAATATGTTGATCATGAAGATCAACTGGGGCGAGCCCATCGAAAATTTAGCATTACATACAGTGTAATATTTAATACAACACCTAGTCTTGCAAGCTCTAAGTCCCTAACTAGCTCTTTCCTATGTTTACAATAGTTACATCATTCTTATTTGGAGTCCTAAATTTGACTACGTTTGTTTGCTTATGTATAAATGAAAAATTTGTTATTTGAATTGGCTAAGTTGAAATCAGTAATTTTGATTTTGATTTTTTTTTATGTACATATTAAATACAAGTAAATAACTAGAGATATTAATGCTCAAAGAAAGTAGTGTGAACATCTCTAATCTAAATTATGCAACGATTAGGAAACATAATAAGTACTCTCTTCGTTTTTAAATACTTACTACATCTCTCCATCCGCAAAGTTTTAGGAGAAATCAGAGTAACTAATAAACTATAGAGATAGTGGGGGTTAGTGAAAGGTAAAATAGATGAGAGAAATGAATAAAATTGGGTCGTATTAGTTGAGATAAATGAATTAAATATTGTAAAATCTTTCCAAATAAGGAAATGGAGCAAGTATTTAAAAACGGCCGCAAAAGAGAAAAAGTAGAGCAAGTATTAAAAACAGAGGGAGTATTATGCATGGCCAATTCTCTCACTACCAAAGATTGATGATATAAAATAATTAGTCAAGACCAATTTCCTACTTAATAGGACTACATTTTTATTGGCCTAGAATCATGAAATAAAAGGTTATTTGCAATAAGTAATTAAACACATACAAATAAAAAGACGTGATAGCTTAAACAATGAGCATATATTGCTCATATAAGTTAACCTTAATGGCTTAACATATCCTACATGTTATTGAAGTAATCTAATTTTGATTTCTTGAGAGCTCGGCTCCCGCATGCAACAAGCTCGGAATCTTGTGACCATTGTTTCGAGAGGTTAGATTATTCACTTATCATTTATTGTGAATGTTTCAGGCTTGAAATTGACAAATGGTGCAAACTACTTAAATTGGACAATGAAACTAGTGTGCTGTATACATAGTAGGCGCTCATTTGCATTATACTCTAATGTTTTAGCTAATGGCTTAACTCATGTATTAGTGCTAATAAATAAATAAAAATTAAAGACATTCAAGTTGCACCGAAATTTCTTACCGTCTTCTATTCATGATTCATACAACAATTTTCTATGTACAAACAGACTAGAGTTGTCAATACGGATAAATGGGTCGGCTTTGGGTTGGGTAAGAGTGGGTCGGGTCGGGTCAATTCGGATTAATTCCATAACCTATGCGGATCGGGTTTGGGTTGGGTCATGCTTGAGCCGAGTCACGCCGGGTCATACTTCTTATCGGGTTTGGGTCGGGTTTAGGTCAGGTTAATAACAAGTCGGGTTACATTCGGGTTGGGTGAAAATAGGCGGGGTTTAATTCAGGTTTTCACGGGTTAAAACGGGTTAGGGTATTCTCGGGTTCGGTTCAAGTCAATAATTTGCAGGTTAGAATAAGGTCGGGTCATTATCAGGTTTGAGTCGGGTTCGGTTCAAGTTGCGGATTATAATCAGGTCGGGTCATTCTCGAGTTTAAGTCGGTTTCAATTCAAGTCAATAATTTGCGGGTTATAATCAGGTTGGGTCATTATCAGGTTTGAGCGGGTTCGGTTCAAGTTGCGGATTATAATCAGGTCGGGTTATTCTCGAGTTTAAGTCGGGTTCGGTTCAAGTCAATAATTTGCGGGTTATAATCATGAATTAACTATTTAGCTAATAAAAATTATAATTGAAAGATCTTATTTTTATAGGCTTAAATACAATTGGCGAATTTGATTATGTTAGCGACCGAACTACATATGTTAATTCGTAAGTGTTAATTTCCGACCGTAGGATTAACAAGTACTTTAATTATTTGACCTAGTTTTTTTATTAATGGATTGTTTTCATTTCTTGGTTTGGTATAAGCATGGCGGACCGAACGTATGCCCTAGACTTTAATTTATCTGTGAACAACCTTATTTTCATTATTGTCATTCTTTAGTTAATTAATCATCAAACCAATCTTCATTTATCGAAATAGTTTATAATAATTGGGCAAAAACTAATCGAACCTGTCTCCCTATGGGATTCGACCCGTATTTGCTAAGTCTCTGCTAACAACAGACACCGTGCACTTGCGGTATGATTAAAATAATGAAATCTGTGCAAGTTGTAAACTATTAAATTGGCCATTTTAATGCAAATTGGGTTGTTCCACCAACCCAATTGGAATCCCGGAGGATATTAGGGACCATGATAAACATTTAAGCAATTTTTATTTCCGGGCGAAAAAAGTCAAAAATTTCGAAAATTGAAGACTAGTATCCACACTTTTTTTACAAAAATTGGAGGTTTCGCAGGGGCTCGATGTCAAAAAGTTTTGAAATTTTAGGGGATACATCTCAGGGTCATATAATGTCGTTTGGAACCGTATATGATCATTATTTGTTTTCATAAATGTTCGTGGTAGGCAAAAGTTGATTAATTCGATGCAAGATATAAACCAGTAAATTGGTCGTTTAAATGCAAGTTGGATGGTTCCATCCACCCAATGGGAATCTCGGACGGTATTAGGGATCATGGTAAATATTTTGGCAATTTTTTTTCAGGCGAAAAAAAGTAAAAAATTTCAAGATTGAAGGCTAATTATCAACAATTTTTTGAGAAATTTTGGAGAATTCGGGGCCCAGTGTCGAAAAGTCTTGAAATTCTAAAGGATACATCTCAGGGTCATATAATGCTGGTTGGAACCATTTATGATCATTATATGTTGTCATAAATGTTTGTGGTTGGCTTGATTTAATGGAATAAGTGCAAGTTGTAAATTGGTAAATTGACAATTTAAAGGTAAATTAGATTGTTCAACCCACCCAATTGGACTCGCGGAAGGTATTAGGGACAATGGTAAAACTTTCGGCAATTTTAATTTTCGGGCGAAAAAAGTTCAAAAATTCCAAAATTGAATGCTTATATCCACGCTTTTTGAGAAATTTTGATTGTTTCGAGGCATGGTGTCGAAAAGCCTTAAGATTTTAGGGAATACAACTCGGGGTCATAAAATGACGTTTGGAACCATATATGATCATTATATGTTGTCATAAATGTTCGTAGTAGGCTTGATTTAATACAATCGGTGCAAGTTATAAATCGGTAAATAAGCCGTATAAAGGCAAATTGGGTGGTTCCACCCACCCAATTGGACTCTCGAAGGGTATTCAGGACCATGATAAACATTTCGGCAATTATTATTTACGGAGGAAAAAATTCTAAAAAATCCAAAAATAAAGGCTAATATCCACGTTTTTTTAGAAATTTTGGAGGTTTCGGGGCCAGTTATCGAAAAGTCTTGAGAATCTAGGGAATATATCTCGGGGTCATATAATATTGTTTGGAACCATATATGATCATTATTTGTTCACATAATTGTTCATGGTAGACTTGAGTTAATGAAATCAGCGCAAGTTGTAAACTGCTAAATTGGTCGTTTAAAGGCAAATTGTATGGTTCCACCCACCCAATTGGACTACCGGAGGGTATTAAGGACTATAGTAAACATTTCTACAATTTTAATTTTCGGACGAAAAAAATTCAAAAATTTACAAAAATGAAGGCTAATGTCCACGCTTTTTGAGAAATTTTGAAGAATTCAGGGCCCGGTGTCGCAAAGTGTTGAGATTTTATGGAATACATATGGGGGTCATATAATGTCGTTTGTAACTATATATGATCATTATATGTTGTAATAGATGTTCGTGGTAGGCTTGAGTTAATGAAACCTGTGCAAGTTGTAAACCTATAAATTAGTCGTTTAAAGGATAATTGAATGGTTCCATCCACCTAATTGGACTCCCAGAAGGTATTAGGGACCATGATAAACATTTCAA